TGTTCAAAGTAAATCATTCTTAAATTTAGAAAAAATAAATGCAGTTTTGACACGATCTCAAGTAAAAAGATCTCATGAAGATGATCGAAGCAGAGAAATTGAAATGGAGAAACTAAAGAAACTGACGTTTATTGAAACGGAGAGATATTTTACCTCAAGCTGATGAGGAAGAGGAATAAGAAAGTGATTAAGTTAATTCAAAGGAATAATTGAATCTCAGCATCAAAGCAGAGATCTAGCGTCATTGCTTACGAACCGAAAATGAAAATTCCAGCAAGACAAATGATTTCAAAGTAAAAGAAAATGGATTGTTGGTGAAAAGGAAAATAGATAAAATGGAAATGAAAGGGAATTAATTGTTATTCCTGAAAAATATAGGGATCAAATAAATCATTATGTCATGATAGCATATCGGACATTTAGGCGTCGTCAAAACTAAAGATAGATTAACAAGATATTTTTACTGGCCTTTGCTATAAAGAAATAGAAGAGTATGTTAAAACTTGCGATCCAGTCAAAGAGTGGGAAAATCTAATGATAAAGCCAAAGCACCTTTGACTTTAGTACCAATTATTGCAGAAGTATTTCAAAAATTAACTTTGGCGCATGCGGTCCTTTACCATAACAAATGGCAATAGATATTTAATTACAGCTATTGTTTAGCTTCAAAATATCCGGATGCTGTACCTGTTCCTAATATTGGCACAACGTCAGTGATTGAAGCCATGTTACAAATATTTAGTAGAATAGGTTTCCCGAAAGAAATACAAACTGATCAAGGTAAAAACCTCCTTTATGAGAGTAATCTAGCCATTGAATTTGTAGAAAAATTTGGAATAAAAGTAACTAGAAGCTCAGTACACCATCCGCAAAGCAACCCTGTTGAAAGATTTCACCGAACAATCAAAACGAATTTTAAAAGTTTTATGTATCGAAGCAGCCCCTGAGTGGGAGAAGCAAGTTCATCCCGCAGCTCTATTTGCTTTAAGAACAATAACGCACGAACGAGAGTACGGGATTTACACCTGCAGAATTAATTAACGTATATGGCCGAAATCTTAGAACACCTGTAACATTATTATATGGAACAATGGATGAATTCCCTGAAGACGAAGGAAATAATGTTGTTGAATACGTTTTCCAATTGATAAATCGGTTAAAAAGATGCAAAGAAGTAATGTTACTACAGATAAAATGCTGGAAATGCAAACCAAAAGAAAAGTGTGGTACAAACCGTAAAGCTATTAAAAGAGAGTGATTCTCTGAAGGAGATTTAGTATTAGTTGTATCAACGAATAAACCAAACAGACTAGCAGTTGGAATGGAAAGGTCCTGGGAAGGTTGAGAAGAAATTATCCGAAACTAATTATGTTATGAGTTTCGAAGAAAAAAAAAGACTTTAATCAAGTCTATCATGTTAACCTAAAACCCTATCATAGGCGAGCAGAATCGGTTAATCTTATGATTACAGAAGATCAATCTGAAATTGATGATATGGAGGAAAATTTTCCCAACAATTGACCTGAACCACATTGTTCGATTTTGAGGACATCAAAGAAAACAGCTCCTTAAGTGATAGCTAATGAACAACAGATTCAAGAATTGCATGATAGCGCTGAGTTTTCAAAAATCTTTTCTAATAAACCTGGAAAAACTCATTATAACGCCATATATTCAATGACAGAAAACACCCAATCCACGAAACCAACAGAATGTCCCTAGAAAAACGGATATATAAAACAGAAATGATAAATGCTCAGCATAAAATAATGAATAGGAGATTCGATTACACTCTCCTATGATTTTAGTAGAAGTAGCAGGGAGGGATCCAAGACAAATCTTGTATGACTATAGAAAATTGATAATTGACTAAAACACAATCTTCCCCTACTAACATCGAACGAGTAGAACGGTAGCAGGTGCAAAATATATAATCTTTTGGATTTAACAAGGGTATGGCAAATACCTTTAACACTAATGCTCAAGATTAGCACTTGGTTACAAGTTTGGCCTTAGACCTCTAGGAGCCTTCGGACTTAAAATGCTTTCCATTAGTAAAATGATGGCCGAAATCCTCCCGGTTGTGAAACGGCTGTTCTTCCTATTTAGATGAGTGGCATCTTTCAAACATTGGAGAAATCTAAATGAAAGCCGTTTGTCAAAAATAAAGATGCTGTTATCTTAAACCAATAAAATGTAAATTGCTCAAGATAGAGTAAAATTCTAGGACATTGTAGGTGTGGGTTTAAGAATGCCAAGTGAATGAAGTAAAAGCATTCTTGATTTTCCAGTGCCATCCCAAAAAGTCAAGTCAGAGATTTTTAGGATTAGCGGGATATTATAATCATTACATTCCCATGTTCTCATCTATCGCAGCACCTTTAAACAAAAACTTTGAAAGGAAAACTTAAGAAAGGGAAAATAAATTGGACAGAAGAGTACACAAAAGCATTTGAAGAGCTAAAGGAGAAACTGTCTCAAAGGCCTATACATGCACCTGATTTCAATAAGGAGTTTATTTTGCAAACTGATGCATCAAACTCTGGTATGGTGTCATTTTAGCTCAAAAAGATGAACGAACAATGAACATCCAGTATTATACCTCAGTAAGAATTTACAGAAACTGAAAAAAGTACTGTACCACAGAAGAATGCGCCGCATAATATTGCTAAAGAAACTTTCAATGTTATTTAGACGGGCGAAAATCTTCATCATGACCGATCATAATCCCTTAGTTTTGGCTCAAAATAATGTGAGTCTAAATCCACGACTTATGAGATGGGCACTGGTACTACAACTCTACAATTACACGATCGTTCATCGAAGTGGTAAAAATCATAAAAATGTAGACGCATTAAGTCGTACTCCCTGGCCTGATTAAATAATTTGTTTCTCTATATAGATAAAAAAAATATTTTGTCCTTCCTCTCTTCTTCAGTGTAGGTTATTATGTTATTTCTGTTTAATTCTCCTTTAAATGCTTGTATTTTAATTCTGTGTTGTGCTGATATTATTGTTTTAAAAACTGTAAACTTTAATTTATAAAAATATAAATTAAAGTTTATCTGGAGGGGTGAGAGGTTGTAATATCTTGTTATTTAATAAATATAATTATTGTGAAGTGACAACACCATATTTGTATCAAACCGTTACTCAGCAACGAGAGATATTGTTTAAAAAAAAAAAAAAGATGAGATTCTGAAGATTTTGCCAGCTAGGAGTAGTATTAAAATTTTGCCACTTAAGAATTGTATAAAATTTGTCTATCACCGAGAACTAGAAATAAAATTTATGTTCTACTAAGAAGATTGTCTGTTTCGTAAATTACTGCAAAATACATTACAGCGTAAACGCCTGTGCGCATGTGTCAACACGGCGCATGCGCAGAAAGTTTTTAGCTTTGAGGTCCGGATTATAGATCATTCTGGATTATGGGTGTCCGAATTAACGACTTTTGACTGTATATAACTTTTCTGTATAAAAACAATTTTGTATATATTAATGAGAATATTTTGTATGTTTAAAAATATTTCTGGCTTATTTTAATGTTAGATATTTAATCTAGGGTGGAACTTTTACAATATCCAATCTTGGAATGTTTGGTATAAAAAATTTTAGTGCAGTTATCAATCCACCACAGGTAATTTAGCAATTTTTCTAAACGTTTAATCTGAAAAGAATTTCTTGATATGAAATTATATTATTATTATGTAGTATTATAATAATAAGTATATTTTTTCAGTCATGTATTCTTGCTGTTGGGAATACTGAAAATACTTTAATACCAGATGAAACAAGTGAAAGAGGGTAAGAAATTTTAAAGTAAAATTCCATCAAATATTTTGAGAGTGTAATAATGCATATATAGATCATCTACACATAAATTATTTAAATTCAAAATATATATTTAAGCTTAAGCTCTTTTATTTTATTTTATATTTTATAGTCCCTTTTAGACTTTTGTTCATTACTATTAAATAATTATCTAAAAATATATATACATGCACATTTATAAATAAAATTTAATTTTAAATTTTAATATTCTCTGAAGTCAGCATTTCAGTTTTTGCTTTCCTTCCTAGCTTAAAAATAGTAAAATGCTTATAATAAAGCATGTAATCCCAAAATTAATAGTTAGCATATAATTCTTATGTAAAGCAAGTGACACATGTACTTGCATAGCAGCAAAAATTTAGCTGCAGGTTTTACCGATATTATTTATGTGGAAACTTTTGTCACTGATAATAGTAAAGCAATATTATGTCCTTTTGATATGAATTAACACAATTTTCCTGTTTCTGTTTGACATCAGTATTATTACATTGTTGTTATTACCTTTGTTTTCACTTTATGTAATCTGTCACTTCTTTTGTTTTTGTCCCCAAACATAATGCTGTAAATGTGTAACATATATTCTTGAAATTGTTGAACAGAGGCTGTATCCATTATGACACTTAGATTTATCATTCCATGAATTATGTGTAAATAAAAGTGATTATGATGAATGAGTGAAGAGCCACGTCTCTATCTTCATTAAAATCTTTTTGTATTTTTATGCACCCGTAAGAGTATCATCTTATCTGCGTCAGCACCAGCTAAATATTTTGGCAAATACATTAATAAGATAAAAATTTTAATTTATCATAAGCTCAGTATAGCTGCTGGTTTATATTTGTATCAAGAATGAGTGAATACAGCATTACATATCCAGCTTTACATAAAAATCTCATGTAGTCAGAACCCATTCTTTGGGATTTGAACCCAAGTCAAATTACTAGTATTCTGCAATCTTATCCATTCACTCATTCTGGAGATGAATACGAATGAGATGCTGAACTGTTATATAGAACTAAATTGAGAAAGAACTGTTTCTTCACTTGACTGATTATTCCAAGAACTCACAATGAGATTTTGCCCCTGCAATGGCTTTAAGAGTAACATCAGAACAAGTCCACGAAATTCATCGCAGCAAGGAGTTCAATATTGTGCCTGCAGTTGGGAAAAGCCTTGAGCAACATACAGCTGACAGTACAACTTTGCTGAGTTCCGCCTCCAATTTTGATGAAGAACACCTGGGGGGGGACAGGTCGGAGGGTCTCCCCCTCTTTCCCTACCACTAGCCTCTGAAGAGGACTTTCAACTCGCCACATATTTAGAGTGCTTCCATGCGGCAGACACAATGAATACATTTTCAAACATCCATGCCTTCTCCGGGATTCGAACTCGGGCCCTTCAGTGCAGCAATCAGCTTCACTAACCACTATCCCGATTGGGCTGCTCTTGCTATACTTTCCTTGCTCTATTGAAACCTTTAATTGCAATGTCAGTTAACTGAGGATTATAGCGGTATAAATAAGGAAGATTTCCTCACTTAAAGATAAATGCTTCATAGTTTTATTTTTGTTATTGCTTGAGAAGACAAAATAGAGCTGGAAGGATGGTTGCTTTGAACTTATGAATTTTTTTCTAAAATACAGTCTCCAGAACACGGTTCCAAATATTGTAATACCACTGCAAAATTTTCCTCATAAATGTTATATCACTTGTGAGAGGCATTTTTCTAAATTCAACCAAATTAAGAAACACATGAAATCTAAAAAGGAGAGCACTGCATTTAAGATATACCTTGTTTACAGAACGGCAGCTGGAGAAATGATACAAACTTCTAGAATACGCTCAATGGTTTTACTTGCAGAAAAACAAGTAAAAGAACACATCACGATGTTTAAATGAAGGCTTTATTTTAAAAATAAATATAGAGCATTCATTTATTTATTTCCCAATATGTCATTTTGTAAACTTTTTGTGTGCATTGAGAGGGGCTGCAAACAGATCTACTTGAATGCAAAACATCTGTCTATGTCAGTGACTTTTGATGTGGCCTTAGGTTATTGCATGTTAGGCTGCTTCAATCTGAATCCACTTTTAATTATTTCTGATTGCTGGAGGAGAGCGATAGACCAGCTGCTAATTGGTCATATTTAGTCAGAGCCTCTGGGTGGAATATAGCATCATGTGTGTGCTAAAAGAGGGTACAATTTTGACCTTTACCACTGTTTCTGTTGTAGTTACTGCTGAGAGTATCTATAATTCACAGCAGCTAGGATCATCTTTGAAAATCAATGGCTTTCAAACCATCATTTGTTCAGTGCTATGCATCCAATAAGACCCTCTAAAATGCTTGCTGAAGATAGCAGGCTCCTAAATGCTATTTAATACATATGCAGTCATAATCGTAATACAGTTAAAGCACACTAAAAAAATATGACTTGTTGGCAATCTGCACACCATTGTCTACGTTCATGCACCCACTGTAAATTGAGTGATGAGGCATTAATTATTTATGGTCAGAGGAATTATTCAAATAGGAATGCTTGCATACAGTTATCTATAGAACATATGTATTCAAACTGTGGAAGCAAATGATGCCATACTTGCAGCAATATTGGAACTCTATAGGTTGGTTGTATGATGCCTTTTGGCATTGATGAGGTAAAGTAATTGCGATAGGACAATTGCAAATTAACTAATATAGGTATACTACTTGTTTGACTGCTCAACAGCCATCTATTTTTATATCTCATAAGATAATGATGGGTTTCATACTATTTTGCTGAATCCTTCATGGTAGTATTTTTTCATAAATATGTGCATAACATTGAGTTTAACAGTTTGACAGTTTTTTTATATTAAGAGGTTTTTTTAAAAATGAAATGTTTAGGCACTTCTTATCAGACATATGCTAGAAATTCTAGAAAAACTTACTAGCTATTTAACTGACTTTTGGCGAAGAACGGAAGAGTATGATAGTTAGAACTTTGGATGAAATTTTCTCTTAAATTGAAAGGAAGAGTTAAATTATTGTGATTGGTTTAATTTGTTTTATTATGATAAAGCACATGAAGACTATCTGTATAAGGAAAGAGATGCCTTTTGAAGGACTTTCTAAGGAAACTGGTTTGTAGTCCTCTTACAGATTGAGGAAACCTGTTAGATTAGAAAACCATGTAGCTATCTTTTTCATTCATATTCAAACCCTAGGTCAAATCACCAATGCTCAGTGACTTTGATGATCAGCCACTGGTGGGTTAAATCATTTGGAATATTAAATCTACCCTGAAAATCAATATGATGCATAATTTTTTTTTCAGAGCTCAGAATAAGATATTAATTTAGAAGTCATCGAGGTAAAAAAGCATATGATTGACTCAACTCTTTTTTCAAGTTCATGCTTCACGTTGTTGTACTTTCTGAGCTTTGTTATTTCACGAGATTATTTAGTGATGTCGTTTTTTCCCGGATATTCTGTGGATAAATTAAGAATATTTTAAATTTCGGCGCCTTTTTAATACAATGACAGATAAGAAACCCACTCGTGATTTGACTGCTTGCAATGTTGAAAAACGTTAACACGTTGCATTGACGATAATGAAAAAGTGGAAATTCTGCTAAAGATGGAGGCAGGTGCTACTGCTCGGTTTATAGCAGAATCGTATGGAATTGCCACATGGACTGTGTATGATATACGGAACAATAAAGAAAAGCTGTTGAAATTTTACAGCAACTCTAACACCAGAATACAAAACCAGAAATCTTTACATGAGACGAAATCGGCAAACCTCGATGCTGTCTTGTAGGAGTGGTTCCGGCAGCGGCGGAGTGATGGGAGTACCTATTTCAGGACTACTCCTGAGAGAAAAGGGGAAGCGGATTCATGCTGATTTAAAAATAGAGGAGCCTAATGTAAATGAACAATATAATATAATCAGTTTATACATGTAATAATAATTTAATGCATATAATTATTTTATTAATGTATATAATAATTTAATTAAATGTATCTAATGCGCCTTTTTTATTTTGCACTTTTAGTCTGAATATTATCTTTTTTGTCCGGAAATCCACAAAATCCTAAAATCCACACAACCTCTGGTCCCAAGTGTTGTGGATTTCTGGACTTCTACTGTATTATGTTTTCAAATTTAACACTGATTTTGTTGTTTGACTTCTAAATTAATATTTGTTTGGCATGTTATTGTATCTTAATTACTCAGAATAAGATTTTGGTAGGTTAATAAAAATTCAGTTTTTTTTTGGGGGGGGGAACTAAGACTTTCTTTTCTTAAGAAATTTGTTTGATATATAGGCAAGCCTATAGAATTACATGATTATGTATGTAAGAAACTAGTGCATATAAATGAAAATAGATCAGTTTTAAGCAGTAGTATGTAAAGTACCAAAGTAGTATGTAAAGTGATACTTGGGGTTACTCTAAAAAAGGAGGCTTACTATCATTTGCGAGTGTATGATCATGTATCATGTGATTTAGGTTCTCCTACTGGTCACTGTGTCTGGTTTCACTAGAGTCTGAAAACCTTAACATCATAACTGCACTGGCTTTCAAGTGCATGCATGTTACATTATATTATATTATATAGTAAGTTGTATAACTTATTATTTTCGTCTTAAGAGCAGTATTGCCAGAAATTTGTTAGCCAAGAGAAGAATCAAAAAGTCACAAAAAATAGCTATTGATGTCATAGATCATGTGATTTTTGTGATGTCACAGGCTCATAAGCTCATGTGACTTCTGATGTCATGTGAAATTCAATCACTGAAAGTTCCATAGAATGCAGATTATAACATTCAAATCTTGGTTTTTATATTATATATATTTGTACAGAAATCTTAAAACCAGTTCACTAATTTTCCATTGTTTAAATTTATTCATTTTTTAACCCTTTGCGGCACGGTGTGCCCGATCTGGGCATACCTAAAAATTTTCATCTGTACGCACAGAAAAATTA